CCCTGGGACACTTTGGTTCCCAGCCCGCGCTCAATCCACTGAGCTACACCAGCCAGGGCTAAATTACATTGATTTTCTTTCTGAACCTCTCGAGGTGTGAGATCTTCGTTCCTTTGAGCCAAGGAAACGGGGGACCGTACAATGGCAGAGGCTGCGTGGCCAGCGACGGTGTTCTGCGAGGTATCTGCCTGCGTCCCGCACTCACATTCCCGGGGTGTGACCGGCGGGCGCCGCTCGGGGCGCCAGGGCGAGGGTGTGCCTGGGCTGCGGGGTCACCCCTGCGCGCTCCTTCTCCAGCGCAGGCCTGGGCGCAGAGGTGCTCACGGGAAGTTTGCGCGCGCGCTCTCTCTCTCAACTCCAAATCATACAAACCGTGTTAACTATCATAAAGTGAAATAATGTCCAAACTCACGACTTCCTTCCGGTGGTTTGCATTAGGCCAGTTTCGAACGATTATGGGCCCTCCATGCGGACCTTCAGCCTGCGGCGAGTTCCGTCTCCCGCGTTTGGAGCGTCGCAGCCTCGGGGCTGTGCCCGCGGGGCCGAGATCCAGAGACCGACTCAGGTGCACGCTCGATCTCGGGCACGGTGTGCGACAGGCGCGTGAGCAGGTAGACGTCGCCATCGGAATACGAAGCCTTGGACACAAGTGACCACATGCCGTTCCTGGACCTTTTCAGCATCTTAAGGATCTCAATTCTCAGAAACCGGCCGATGAGAGCACTTACGAAACAGGGTCCTTTGAACACTCAGTGGCTATTTAGTTACATCAAGAAAGCAGCATTAGTTTGTGCCGGGTGTGGACATGGCGCTGTGATTCTACTCGGAGGAGTCCTTTCTCTGAGTTACAGATTCCGAAGCATTTTCCGGGGGAGCGCGAGGGCACCTTGAGTATGCTTGGAAATAATCCGGGAGGCGGAGCTTATCGAGGGGTGAAGCTGGGAGCGGGTGGCTCCGAGAAGTCGGGCTGTGCCGCTGTGTTTGGCTAAAAGGGCACAGGTCAGCCCAGCACCCCAAGGAGGCTGTGTGGACGTGCATTGGGAGGCGCGAGATACCAGGCGGTCCTTCTTGTTTGCTGCGGCTGGCTAGCTCAGGAGTTCCCTAGGCGTCTGCCAGATAGTGATATTCTCACGGCACCTATTAGCTGGGCTACTTTTGTGCAGAGAAGCTTGTCATCATAAATCACTTGGTTACCCCGAAATACAGTTTGGGCCAGAAAGCCAGGTGGAAGTTTCTACCCCTCCCGCCCAGCACCGCCCAGGGCCGTGCTGCTCTCTGCTGCCACCTGCTGGGCGTGAGCCTCCCCGATGTCCACGTGGTTCAACCTCTGAGTTTGCTCGCTTCTCATCGTGTTACCATTTTCTTCCCTCCCCGAAAAACTGATGTTTTGAATTATAGTGTATACCAAACGAATGGCATTTAATATTGATTTATTTAAAATTTTAATGAACAACAGACACACACAACTGCTGAGCAGAACTTCTTAATCAGAAAGCCAATGGTATCGAGATCAATTGGTATAATTCAGGCCAAAAAACAAAGATGCTCGCTTAGGCTTGTGGGTGATGAGATCTCTTTTCAGTTAAGCTTTGAAGGTGTTGGAGCTCGCAGCGCAGCTGCATTGCTAGCCTCCCTTACCACCGAGAGAGAGAGAGACACAACCCGTGTGGGGCCCAGACCCCTGAGACCCTGTGGTCTGCTGCCCCCTGCTGCCCTGGCTTTGGTCTGGGGGCTGCACCTGGACGTTCTAGCTGTGAGGCCTCAAACAGGGGAGGCTCAGGGTCCAGCTGGGGCTAGGGACCTGGCGCCCTGGGGTTTGGGTGTCTCATGGGCATCAGGTGGGGGGCGCCGTGCTTTCAGACAGCACAGGTAGGTGTTAGGGCATACTCCGATCTTGAATTCCGCCCTTTTACAGTTCCTCCGGCAGCGAGCAGTCCCATAGCCACATATCTTGTCCACGTCAAGGCCCCCTCTCACTAAAATGACAAAGTCAGTCAGTGTGAGTGATTATGTCCGAGGACGAGAGATGAGATGTTTGGCTGCAGGGTTTTTTTTTGTGTGGGGAGGGACTTGAGGTTCCCCAAACTTCCTCAGGTTCCTGGACCTGCCAGGAAGAGGCCCACCTGCAATGCTGGGAAGCCAGGGGCCAGGCTGGTGTCCCCACGGGGGCTCCACACCCCACAGCTCCATCAAGTCGGCTGAGCTCCTCAAACTGGATTCTATGTGCATGATCCTCCAACGTGACATTCCGGTCACAGCGCTGGTTATATAACCAATGTTCCCAATTGTGTTTTGTTACAAGGAGAACGTCATCTTATTGAACTTATGCAAGTAATTATATTGACATACAAGTAAGGAGAAATAATAGTTTCCTAATTCTGGAAGGGTCAAGCAGGGAGCAAAAAAAAAGTGTTTTATTTTGGACCAGGAACCAGGTGACTGGAGCTGGATAATTCCCATCCCTCTGCCCATCAGCAAATTTGAATCCAGACTTAGAGAC